ATAAGTTGATAAAAAGGGGGAAAATTTGGGGGAACATCCCCGACCCCCTTTTCTCCGGTTTTCTTTTTTTTATTTTATGTACAAATTTTTCAAATTTTTTTTAATTTTTTTTTTTCCCAAGTAACTTTTAGGGCCTGTAACCAATATGATCAGTTTTGGCAAGTTTTTTTTTTTTTCAATACTCACAAAAAGGGGCATAAACACTGTTGTCAATGTTTTGTTTATAAAAAAATTTTTACAAAAATGATATGAAATTTTGTTTATTATAATTTTTCTATATTTTATATACACATATACATCAGAGGGGATTTTTTCTAGAAGTTCTCAGCCGGGGAAAGTCTTTAAAACATGGGTCATGCACAGGGGTTTTTTACATCCCACACAAAAAGAGTGTCTCTGCGTTGTTTTTGGGGTTTTTTTGTTGTGACAGACGTAACACCTCTTCTGACCTTTTTTTTTGAAAGCAAGTACAACATTTTTCCAGGAAGTGACCCCATGCTTAAACGAAAGGTAGTTTTTGTAATTTTGGGTGGGGGGTCAATTGCGGTTTCTTCCTTGTCTTGAATACTATTTGTTGATGACAGAAACGAATCGCCGATTGGGTTTGTTTCTGGCCCTCATCTTATACATATTATAAGCAATGGGCATGGAAATGCCCAGAAGAGGGAAATGGGTTTTTATGACCACTTAAAAATCTTGAAACACAATCAGAAACCCCCAATCTGCATGTCACTTTGCCCACTGAATGCATATTAAAAGGTGAAATCAATACAGCTGCAGGTTTTAGAATGGGTTCTTCCCTTCTCTATGCTGCCCAGGTCTGCCATTTCTTTAGGGGTGAACTGATGACAACATTTGGGGACATCTCTTTTGGCTGCCACCAAAATGCCAGATGTCTTTGGCAGAAACGCCTGCCCCTCCCTTCGAGTGCCAGCGTCAAACCTGGGCATATGTTCCGATTTGCCGCACGTCCACACACATCTGTCTTTGTTCCCCGGGCAAAAAATCACTGAGTGGGGGGCTTGTGTACCATTCCCCCCCCAATAATATAGCTCCTTACCAAAGGTAGGTTTATCTTGTTCTAAACCACCCCCTGAATGCCCAATAACTTCCTGGTATTTTTGAAAATTATAATTTTCCAGGTACACAATAACACCAATACCAGACCACTGTAACAATCACAAACACAAACAACTTTATACCAAAGCTTTTCTCTTGTTTGGGTATGTACTGTTTGAAAGAGAGTCTTCCTTTGAACAAACAAAGACTCTAAAATTACAAGTTTCCTGAAGGGATAAAATGCGTACTGAATTTCTTTTTTCAGATACCAAAACATCCTAACTTAAATAACCCGCAGTTCTGTCAGGCCTGGTTTGTCTGGAAAAGAAGCATCTAACATTGCACAAATCGATTTCCTGGCTTATTCCTGAAACCCGGGGTTGCAAACGGGGGTCCCCTTTTCCAGTTATTTCACTTTGGCTTATACCATGTGGCTAAGCATTACTGGGCAAAAAAAAGATACATCTCACCACATTGCCCCCTTTTTATGGTGTAGACGTGATTTCGTGAAAGTAGTGTGTTTTTTCAGGTGTACTCGTAGTATGTGCTCTTTTCCTTTACAATACTTTCGTCAGGGGTTCTCAAAAAATATCTGAAACATTTCATTCAGTGGCATTGTTTCCCAATGTACGTGGCCGTATCCACTTTTGGGTGTCAAATTTAAACGGTGGGGGATTTAACAAAACTGACAGCTTCCCGCTAATCCCCCGGTGCGGTCGCTGGGGGGACTGGCAATGACAGGTGGTTGTGGTTGTGGAGGGTTTTGGTTTTTGGGGTGGTGTGGTGGGGGGGAGGGAGATGGGTGGCCTTTTTTGTAGATCCTGAGGGGAGCGGCAGGGGGCAGAGGGGGGCACATGGCCCCTGCTGGTGCCTCATGGTCGTCACCACCCCTACCACCCCCTGCCATTTTCCCCTCCCCCCTGCAACACTCATCATTTTCCCCTGTTTGTTCCTGTTGTACAGCCCTGGGATGTATCCTTTTTTCCCCTTGGAATAGCTATGGGACATACCAAGCGCCCTATATGTCTATATACTGACGCTTTTTAAAATGGGAATACTGCACTTCACTATCTCTACTGGAACTGTTTTCAAAAGCTTTTAGTTCATAATCACTATCCCATCATCACAAATGCTCACAATTTATCTGGGATTTGGGGGAAAAAGGGTTTCCTCTTTGATTCTGGGACAAAAAACGGAAAAAGACGGCCCCGCACCAAAGGGGGAAGCTGGGGTCATCTGGATTTTCCCCACTATTACCAATATTATGGTCATTATTTCGGGAAAACCTCACCAAAACCTTGAAATCATCTTCACGGCACTTTTCCTCTGTATTAAAACTGTCACTGGGGGAAAAAAAAGTGTCCAATTCGCCCAGGATGAGGAAAATTTTCCCTATTTGCGATGTGAAGTCTTCACAGAGGCGCGGGTGGGTTTACAATGAAGTTCACAGGAGAGAGAGGGTGGTGGTTCACTTTCCTTCCTCTCTCCCTCCCCCCCTTTTCATTACCATCAGGGTTTGGACAAGGTTTGGTTTGGAATCCTAGCCTTTATGAAAGCTAATTTACAGGTTAAGGTTCCTAATCCCCTTCCTCTGTCTTCCGGTTACCTTGTCGTAGAGTCCAGTATATCTGTGACACAGGATTTTCCATCATGGAAGTCATGCTGGTTGTCATTCTCCCACATGCTCATGCATACCCCACAACTGCTCTTCCTCAATTACAGGATGTTTACTGTGGACCCCCGCACTTCATTAGCGAACTTAATCGTGCAAGAGGGCTGTTCGTTATGCGAATTGTTCGCTTTTGCGGATTTAATTTTCCCCTAAGAAATTAATGGGAAAATAAAATTAATCCGTGCAAGACACCAATAGTATTAAAAAAAATTTTTTTTTTACCTCAAATAATGTTAATGTTAGTACACACAAACTGAAAAAGTGCATGACCACAATTACTTGACACTACTTTTATTGAAGATCTGGTGAAGATTGATGGGATGGGAGGAGGGGAAGAGAGGTTAGTTGTTTAGAAGGGGAATCCCCTTTCCATTAGGGCACTTGAGCGGTAGCTAGTGGGTAGCGGGTAGTCTTTCAAGTCCTTTTTGGGGTTTTTGGCGTTAATTAATTTCCCTTTCTTCTCTTTAATGCCACTAGGACCAGACTGAAGAGGTCACTGGACACTTCTGTCGCACAAAGATAATATGTCCTTTGTGGCTGTACCTTTCGTCCTTTATGACTTTCCTAAAGTGTTTCACAACAGTGTCATTGTATAAGTCAACCAGCACGGCTTTGCAATAGCTGTGTGAGGGTGATTTTCATCAAAAAGGGTTTGCACTTCAAGACATTTTGCACAACATTTTCCTTATCTTTGAAGTAGGCAATTCTTCAATTTCTCTCTCCCCTCCTCTGAACCAGTTTCCCCAGTGTATGGGCCTTCTGCTCTTGAAGTTGATCTATCAGCTTCATCAGTGGTTTAGTTCCTTCATAGTCCTCCTTCACCAACTTTCCTACAATCCTCCCCCACTACCTCCAACCCCATGGTTTTCCAATGCCACATTGGATTCCTCAACTGGCATAATCTTCTCAGGGTGTAGCCTCAAGCCCTTCAAATTCCCTTTGGTCTACACAGTCTGGCACAGTTTCTTCCAAGCCAGAGTTCAAGGTTCTTCTTAGTCACTCCCTACCAAGCCTTACCTATGAGGTTTTTACACAACTGAGGATATTTTAGTGTGAGATCCTTCCAAAACTCTTTTTTAGAGTCATCCAGTGTCTGTGGTCACTTCCAAACGCACTTTTGAAAAGGCTTTGGTGTACAGTTTCTGAAGTTGGAAATGACTGCTGGTCCA